ATGGATAAATGTTCACTCGTGCTTCCTGTAATGAAGCTGGAACTCCATTATAGTCCTGGAACTGAGTAGGTCTCCGAGATCACTGTCCTTGAAATCAAACACTTGGAACCTTTTATATCAGTCCGCACACCAAATATAAAGCTCAGATTTCATGCTTTCATAGTCATAGTCAGTTGTGTTCATACCTGAGCGGATACCAGAACCAAAATGTCTTCCTCCTCCACACAGAGTCCAAATATATCAACTCCTTTTCTTAGGTTATGATAACAATAGGGAGTAAATTATAGATGCTCTCTCCACCTTCTGGCAGGAAATACGCCGCTAGACTGCCTTGCTACACTAGCCTCTAGCTGATGTCTGCAGATTAAACAATGGCTGCTGTTGCTTTCCTGAAAAGAAAAGCATCCCCAGAAATCCCAGCTCTCTTTTTTTTTAGCTGGTTATTATGTCCAGCTATCAGAACCATGAAGAAACCAAGTGGAAAAATTGAATCTGGCAGTAAGAGTGCAATGCATGAAGGCACACGACTTCCAAACTCAGAGAACAAAAATAGCAGCAAGAGAAAAAATTTGCCTGAAAGAAGCTCTTTAATTATTCCATTTCTTTCAAACGCTTTGCCCCCAGCACAGCCAGGCTGCCATTTGTATAGGGCAGCCATATGTGTTGCAGTAAATCTTGAGGACTGAATTATTAGAGAGAAACAAGCTTCTTTTTTGGCTGTGTTTTCAAAGAGCTGGTAGCAGATCGATTGTGGCCAGAGCCCTGGGCACAAGGGAGTCTGTACTTTCATAATGAGTCACCAGGATTTAATTTTCAGTCTGGCTGATGTGAGGGTGAAGGAGTTTAGATTGCTGCTTGGACTCTAGAGGCTGCTCCCAGAGGGCTGCTCAAGGAAGAGGTTGGAAGAAGTGTTGGAGGAAAGCAAGGAAAGGACTACCCAGCACTTACTTTTTCAGTCTGCTGGAGAAAGTTCCTGGGCTGTTGTTGCTATGGCACGGAGGACTGAAATCTTCATGATGGCACTTTCTGCTGCTGCTACAGAAAGGCAAAGTCATCTAGCTGTGCTGACACTTCAGTAACCAGCAGCCTGGTGAATCTGTGTTTCAGGACACTGACAGAACACCCAGTCTTCTGGACGCCACCCATTCCCTTCTGTGATGTCTAAGTCTTTACGTCTTTCTCCAACACTTGCAAGTTGACACTTTTGAAGCTTATGGGGAACACTGAGAATATTGCAAAGCTTTGAAATACTCTTGTGGGTGTTGTTTGTGCTGAAGATGGCCATGCTGACACCTGAGTTTTCTCTAATTAGGGAGCAGATACTTGGTTATATGTTTCTCTGGAATTAAGTCAATAGCAATTGTATGAAGCCTCCCTGTTGGCTGAGATGTTGTTCAAAGGAACACTGCAGCAGGACTGAAAAGTAAATTCCTAAACACTAATAACCAATCAAATGTAATTTGCAAGCCAAAGAAAAGACGTCTGTTAAATACACCTACTAAAATAACCTTTCCTGAACTGTCTAAGGGGCTTTACAGTAAGATCTTTAATTTTATTTTTGGGGTAAGTTGTACGCAGAACAATCAGGAAGAAGAGAGTGATGCCAGGTCAGGTGAGCACTGCAACACAGTAAGGGAATAAAAAATGACATTTCTGTTGTGCTGAAGCAGAGACCCTCATTCTCTAATGGCATCAGTCTGTTGTCTGACCCTTCTTTTAGTTTGGTTTTGGTTGTATGGCTTGAGTGAGCAGACAGGAGAATGGGAAGTGCAATGGATCTTTCTCTAGTAGGTGCTTGGCTAGTAGGACCTAAGCCACCATCTATCAGTAGCATTGCAGCTTCACATTATAGGAGTCCCTGAGTCACACCAGAGCTTGGAAAGACAGTGGCGGCAATGCTGTGGGCTGGACATGGATCTGTGTTAGTAATTTTCCGTAATGTCCTTATTGCGTTTCCTTCTTTTCCAAGTGCCTGTGGCAGGACAGAGAGGTATTTGTAGAAAGCAAAGGCTGGCATTACAGTGTCATCCCAAGACAGAGCTTGCTCTTAAAAAACAAAAGTGCAAAAAAAGAAATAGATGCGCTATACTTGGTGTTTCTGCTGTTATCATAGGAAATTATACTTGCTTGTAAACCTGCAGTGACCAGTTCCCTCCCTTTGCAAAAGGGAAACTGAGAGCCCTGCAACTGCAGCAAAGTCAGGCCTTGAGACTGTGCACAAAAGTATTCCTTGCTGGGGAGTTGTTTCAATGAATTCCTACACAAATGTGACCTACACACAAAGATTTGCTCCCACCATGGTGGGTGCAGATTTAGTCTCTAGCTATCTGCAGTTCTGAGGAACTGCTGATGAAAAAGGTCATTTTGAACATGCATAGTTTCTTGCTGTCCTGCCTGCTCTGTCCTGGGGTTTTGCCAGCTTCCTTACAGATACAGGAGAAGGCCAGGGATCAAGTACAATCCTGAGCAGCCATGCTATATTACTGCAACTTCAGAGAGCCTAGGGCTTGCTCGGGGTGGCTGTAGATGGAGGGTGTCTGTGCAATCTGTGTCTGAGGTTCTGGCCTCACCATCTTTTACATTGGGTGTCATGGCAGGGAAAAGGCTGTCTAGTTATCAAGGGCCTAGGAAGAGAGAAGTGATGTGTGGGGCGAGGGAAGGTGTAACAAATATGCTTCATTTAAAGTGCTCGGCAGGTAGCAAACTTTCTGTAAATATGTATTTCTCCTTGCGTGGCAGGAAGTAGAGGAGCCAGTCGTAGGCAGTAGCTGTATTTTCTTGCATCTGGTATTTTTGAATAAAAGCAGATTCCAGGCTGTCTTCTATGATATATAATGGTGATTAATAACCTAGCCTGCTTCCTCTGGATTTGATGTCGTGCTTATGTTAAGATGTAGGAAGTATTGTTTGCTGAGATGACATCAAGAGCTCTTGGATGAAGGGAGTAGAAACACATCCTTTCCTCACACAGCATTGGCAGGGTTTTGGTGCTTCTTCCTGCTCACAGAGCTGAAGAACATCGCAGCTCATTTAGGAACAGCAGACCTACCCCTTTTTCTCCTTCAGACTCACTTGTTAAAAGAAACCAGATGAGGAAAGGGCAGCAGTGGAGTCACAAGTGGCCTGTAAATGGCCAGCATCCCCCTTCTGCCCTCCCTGGCTGGGAGCAGCATGGTCAAACCACAGGCTAGAAGGAATTTTTAATGGAAAGGGACATTGATGGAGGAGATACTCCTCTGCTTGTAAGTAATATCATCTGGGAACAAGAGAGCAGTGGAAGGGGAAAGCAGGAGTCTCTGAAGGAAAGTTACAGCTGTTACATCACAGTTCTTGGTTATGCAGCCAATTTAGCTTCAGCAAGACAGTTATTAGACCCACAGTCTTTGAGGCCAATACTGCGTGAGGACAGACTCTCTCCTTTTTGCTCCACCCGAATTACATAGGACTGTAGCAAATGTTGGCTGTCTCATAGCTTACAGATGGGGACTGCACTCACCCGTGTAAGGTACTATGCATATTTCCCATTGAAGAATGCTTAGAACAGATGGCACTGAGTGTGCTGTGCTACTTTGGTTCTGTGTAATCTTTGTAAGGTACATACAAGTACCATGCTGTTGGCCTGAACCCTTCCTCAGCTTGGCAGAAATTTAGATTTAGACCCAGCTTTGTGACCTTTTGGGCTTTCTTCTTAAATTTATCCTTCTTTCTCTTAGAAGCATGTCCCTTACTGAAGACAGTCACTATCTTCACCATTCACTAATTCACTGAAGACACCAAGAGCCTCAGAGGCACAGAGTTACTGCATACTCTAATGGTTCCTTCAGCACTTTTGCTGTTCCCTTTGGTTTGTGGGTGTCCTATCCTTTTGCTGCGATAGCAGTATTAATTCATGTGGCTCTAAATCATATCTCTCCCCTACTGTTCTTTCAGCTGGCACATGTTCCGTGCTGGATTTTTTTAAAGCCTGACTAATATTTCAGGAAACAACCTTTTAAATTACAAGCCCACAAACTTAAGAAGCTCCTTGCAGTGAAATTTGGATTGCATATCTTTGGTGCATAAGGGCGGTGTGAGGCTTACCACATTTCCAGGTGTGTGGTTAAAGAAACAACTGTCCAAGTATAAACATCATATAGCAGTGAACAGCTCTGCAAGGGAACACTCCCAGGTTTACAGTGCTTACTGTTGGACTCTGGCCTCAAAAAAGTCATTTCACACCACATGCCTCAGCCTGGGAATGCCTCTTCCAAATGGCTGATGTCATGTTAATATTTCACTTTGTGAAGGAGGTCTGGTGACCTTTGCAGCTGGATTCTAATAGCCTCCTACTGTCACATCTGTCCAGTGACATGGAAAGAAAACAGATCCGATAATCGCGGAGCAGATTTATCCGTATGCAAGCAAAGCCCCACCTGTGTGGAAGAGACTTATGGTCTTCAACAACAAAAGGACCAAGATGTGTTTCTGCTTGAGTGATGGTTCCTAAGGTTCAAAGGACATAATTCGCCACGTGGCTGCACTTCAGGCACTGTTGTAGCCTAGAAAATGGGTTTTGGTGGTACCGAAGCAAGTGATTTGTGCCTAATGTGAATGGATGGCTAAGGTGCAACAGTGGTTACTTCTGTGTCACTTAGCATTACTACCAATTAACAACATTGCCTGCAGAATCAGAACAAGGCTACTAAATGAGTTCACTGTGTATGACTACTACAGCGCACCTGACTTTATCCATGACGCTGACAGAAGATAGGATAATCTCCATCTCTTTTCCCAGCCCAGTGGAATTCATTCCTGATGAGGTGTGATCATTCTCCCAAGTAAGTACCAAGTTTACAGAGCAGCAGGAAACTCCAAAGTGGGAAGTGTGAATCCCTCCTCCTGTCCACCACCAGCACACATACCTTAGTCCCTCTGATCTTTAGTCATCTAGAACTTCTGGCTTCTTTCCCAACCATCATAAGCAATCAATTAATTATTTCTTTTTGCTGTTGTCATTGCAGGGCAACCATTGATGAAGTGGAAACAGATGTGGTGGAGATAGAGGCAAAGCTTGACAAGGTAAGATGGGGCAGCTTAGCGCATTGGTTTGAAGAGGGACTGATGAGTTCCTGCTTAGGAATATGGCCCGACCAGTCTCCTCTAAAAAGTGAGCCCATCTCAGGCTGTCAGGAAACTAATGTATAATACACTGGGCTTGTCAACAGGACCATGTCTCCCTCTACTGACAGGTACCTGTCAAGGCTCCTTTGTGACTGCAAAAGGAGTTAGGACAAGAGGTCCAGATGGGCTCCTAATGCTGAACGATGGCCTTCTTGTTCTGGTCCTGGATCTCAGGGGACTGACACTGCTTCTCCTGCTGTGGCAAGTTATTTTGGTGCTGTCTGTTTCCCCTCTCCACCATCTTGCTTGTGATACTAAGCTGTGTGGGGTTGGAGCTATTAAACGTCCATCACACAGCGTGGGCACCACTGTGTCAGCTCAGGGATGTAAGGAGACACAGATAAACAAGGGGCCGGATTCAGACTGATGGTGGTGGTTGCTGTCTGATGTTCAGCCAGGCTGTGCATCGCAGCTGTAATCTGACACTGGAACTATTCTCTCGGGGACCAGTTTGGCCATTTTGCATTTATGCTGGTGATTCTTTACATCCAGTTGGTACTTTAGATCTAAGTCAGAGGCTTTGTGATGGAAGGTGGCTTTTCCACTCCCACTCCTCCTTGTCTGAGACGTCAGCCAAGTTGTTTCTGAACGAGAACAGAGAGAAATGAAGAAGAGGAGCCAGAAGAGCTGTCGGCTTTTTATCTGTGAGATTTCCCAAAGCTAGCAAGGGATAAAACTCCTGCATCTGATGGAGAAATGGGCTTTGTTGAAGTCACAAGCCCTAGGCAAAGCTGTGTCCTATAAAACCCATTTACTAATCAAGCTGCTTGAAACGGTTATCTGCACAAGCTAACTAGTCTCACTGGTGGAAGCTGCAAAGGGTTTTAGGTTATCTGTTTTCCTCTAAGCTGAGGCTTTAAAGACAAAGCATGGAGTGAAACTTGCTCTGATTCTAGCACTACTGCTGTCAGTGCCCCCTGTAGTTAGATGACTTCGTGCGCGAAGAACAATCCTAGAGCAAGGAGGGTGGGCTGGAAGTACAAGAGCTGTTCAGGGCTCTCAGCTTTTTATTGTTCAGTGCTTTGTTGCAAATTGATTTCAGCTCCTTTGGGTGAGGACTGCATTAAAACAATAGTCTCATGCAATTTTGGTCTTCCCCTGACAGCACTTATGGGGTGCTATTCTGGTAATGTAGAATGGGCAGACATTTCATTCTGTTTGCATGCATCATTTCCCCTGTCTGCTGCAGAAATGACTGGTCATGCAAATTGCTGGCTCAGTCACTGTCAGCAACAGGCTTATCAGGCCTGGGTCCAGGGCAAATGAGGCTGGAGCTTGCATCTGAAGAGCCACTGAAGTTCAGATTAGTTTCTCTGAGGGTAACTTTGGACAAGATTCAATCATCCCCATTCCTAATAAATCATCTTTGGATGGCCCAGCTCCTCTCCTGTGTACTGGCTGGGTGGATGCCCAGGGCAGCCTTTCTAGGGCTTGGTGTAAATGTTGTTCAGTGGTACCCAAATAGCTGGCATGACTACTTCTTAAAGAGCAGCAAGCTGGCAAGGACCGACTCTGTTTCTCTGCCTTTTACTGTGCCCCTGAGCACTTAGTTTATAAATTATTAGTCTTTTAACACCTGTTTAAAATGGAGGTAAAGGGCAGTGTAAATGATTCATCCAAGGGGACACCAGAGATTTGGGCTTGATTGCTGTTTCAAAGAGATGTCCTTCATTCTGTCCTGTGGTCCATCTGCAAAGCCATCATTGCTCCCCTTGGGAGCGTGCTTGCGCTGAATGGCCTTCAGCTACTAGTAACACAGCCTCAGCCGCAGTGTTTGCACAGAGGTATGCTAGAAACCGCCACGTTGCAGAATAGGCTGGATTTCCTTTCCAGAGGATCTGTCCAAACCCCTAGTGTACGTCTGGGCTCCAGATGTGACAGGAACTGCATCTGTTTGCTTTTCTTCTCTGGGCTTGGATGGGCTAGTATAAGTCTGCTAGCATCCAATGCTGTTCTGACAAATTGCATGGACAGGAGAGGATGTGAGTGTGAAAGAGTGAAGACTGTATATACTATGTATACACAGATATAACACGTGTGACTATATATATATTTATACGTTCAGATATACTCAGCTATATTTTTACAGAACTGCAGAAAGAGGCAAGCAAGCTTGTTTTGCAATGCATGCATATAGATTAGACCCCAAAGCCTTGTGGCTACATATATAGAACAAGCACCAAGCCCCAAAACAGCACACCATGCTTCAGTGGGGCTTTGTCGTCCAGCCAAACTTGAGAGCTATTTGTTCCTAGCCTGTAGGTGAGGCTGGTTGACAGGGAAAGATTTCTAAAGTCATTTTTCATTAGTAAGATTAATATCTCTAAAAAGCTCCTGGATTTTGAGAATGGAAAACTTCAGTTCCAACTATTTTTCATTATCAGCAGATGAAGTTTTTCACTTAGTTAAAAAGCTTAGAACAGTGATGATTTAAAAACAAACAAACAAACAATTAAAAAATTTTGCTCAGTGGTCAGCCATCACTATTGCAAATCTCTTGGACCTTTTGTTTATGGATTTATCTTAAGTTGTTTAACGTAACCTTTTACAAGGAGCTTTGGCTGAAAGGAGATAGGCTAATGGCCAGGAATTCTAGCTAAGCTAATGCTCCAGTCTTTACAGCCAGTTCCAGGCATGCTAAGGCAGTTTGCTGAGGCTAGGAAGTCTGGGAATGTTCCCTGCAGCTGTTATATTATCAAAAGTTAATAAAGGCTGTCTGGAGATGTATGCCTGCATTGCAGCAAACTAATTCCAAAGTGAGGAAGCCACCCCATTTTGCTGCAAGTTCCAGGTAACTTCGCTGGTAGCTTCACTATAACAAGGCTGGTGATGAGAATTGGAGCGTGTGTAGCTTGCTTAAAGTTGTTAATGTTTCTCTGAACAAAGCTCCTTCCAGGTCCATCAGAAGGACTGTACTAAGTCACAGGCAGTCCAGAGATATATGCTGTAATCCCCCATGATGAACCAGCAAAGTTTCCTTGGGCTGCAGAATTGTGGAAATTGATTCATAGTTATCTACAATCTTGATGGTGTGAGGGAACATAGATTTTCACTGGCTGCACACAGCAGACATGGCTTAAGCAGTCCTGGTCAGTTGGTTTAAGGAAAGCATGATACAAAAACATAAGGCTGCTGAATGCTGGCTCCCCTTCATTCCAAGGTAAGAGCAAGACATGTCTCCACAAGTATGCAGAACAGCCAGCTGGGCTCAGAGACTCGACAATCCCAAAGAGCAGCATACTCCCAGCAGGGAGATTCTAGACAGCGTATCACTTCCACCCGGCACCAAGGCATCTTACCTCTCCCCAGTCAATCTGTGTGATCAGGTTCCTTTTACTGCGGTCCTGATGCCTCAGGGTAGAATGAAGAGTAGAAACCCACTGGAAAAAATGGGCTGCCCTGATTCATTTGTGCTCAGGGGATAGCCTAGAACTGTTAAGTGACAAGTGAAATGTTGACAGCATGACATACCCTGAGAAGTGTGATTTGCATCCCTGTTTCTCTCACATGCAGTAAGGCTTGCTAGTGTAGCCGCAGCAAGAACGTGAACGGCATCCTGTTCTAAAGGTCTTGGGCTGTGGCGTTGGTGCAGATTAAAACCAGCCTGGTTGCAGTTCAGTTGGATGTGATCAGCTGCCTATCCACTCACACCTCTCTCCTTGTGCAGCTGGTAAAGCTATGCAGTGGGATGATTGAAGCAGGCAAAGCCTACCTCACCACGAACAAGCACTTTGTCAGTGGAGTCCGGGACTTGTCGCAGCAGTGCAAGAAGGATGAAATGATTTCGGTAAGTCATCCTGTGGGATGGAGCATGGGACACAGTGAGGACTGGGGAGCGTTAAGCTTCCTGGTGCTGTGAATGGACCATATGTCCAAAACCCTTACACTGTTTAAGTAGCAATTTAGTGTGAGGTTTTCTTTTTGGAGGAATGTAGAGACCATCTGATAATGCAATGCTGAAAGGTCAGAGTGAGATTCATTGTCTGCAAGGAGAACTGGACTTTTAAGAAGCCACAGTTCTGACAAGGTTGTTTGAATCTAGGTCAGTAAGCATCAGTTAAGCATCAGTTATTTAGGAAATGCGGGTAACCAGCCTACACAAGTGACAACTGACACGTTGATTTCTGCACTAAAGTGGAAAGGACAGGGAGTCTATGGCTTCGATGTCAGACATTTTCGAAACGCCTTCTTGCCAAATGGCAGAGTGGCTCTTCAGTGGCTTAATGAGAGCCTCTCTCAGCCGTTGAACCCCTGGGAATAAAGGGCAGCTGCTTCTATTCACTGCCAGTTTTCTTTACCTTTTTTTGCAGGAGTGCCTTGACAAATTTGGAGACAGTCTGCAGGAAATGATTAACTACCACATGGTAAGATGACGTTTCCTCTTGTCTTTTTGTGTGCTGATGGCAACCTCTTTCTCAAGGCACTGATTAATGCTCTCCTGTGTTTGGCTTACTTGACACTGCACAAAGGTGGGGTCCATGAAGGAAGTGTTTTTCAGGTTCCAGTCCCTGCACACTGCATAGCCAAGAGAGCAGCAAAGGGCTGGGAGTTAATGTTGCCTCTTGCAACAATATTGAATTGGATGAGCTGTGAGTCTGTGTACTCAAGATGATCAGTCCTGATGTATCATGTATGCTAGGAAATGGGATTTCCACAGGCTTGCAGAGGAGGTACCACTTAGTGAAAGGCTATGTACTGTTGCACGGGTGCCTTTTGGCTCATTTCAGATCAGAGATGTACAACAAATATGTAGAATGGTGATGTTAGAGACCCCTTTGTCAATGGAAGAGGAGGGTTCGCAGAGGTCCCGCACTCCAGATGCCTTGTGCTTCTTTTTGGATAGCACAGGATTTTGTAGTGAGGATGGACAGGGTCCTGGGGAGCTCTGACAACTCAGGACTCTGGCTGTTAACAGCTTGTATGTATAACCTTGTTGCTGCAGATTTGGAATACACTCTGAAGCTTGGCGTTCAAATTTGTGACATTAGGACACCAGCAAGGCTGTGAATGGATCAAACCAAAAGGACTGCATTGTTCAGTTGCTGCTGGGAGCAGACTCAGTGAATTGTGTGCAGCTCTGTGTTTAAGGATAACACAGGACATACTAATGCTACACTGAGATGAAAGGAGGGAAATGCTCGGACAGTGGCTATTCTCCTGAGCTGACTGTATCTCACTAGCAGAGCCCAAGGAGTTAGAATCTGCCCTTTCTCCATCCCAAACATCCAGCATTGTAAACCACATAGAAGAGGAAGGTGCTTCATGCTTGGTGGCTTCATGCCAGACCCACAATTTTAAGTCTGTAACTCAGTAGGAGCTTAAAGCACAAGTGCTTTGAAGTGAAGGAAACTTCAGGATGTCAGCACTGGACTGACCCACTTTTATACCACGATGCCCCTGTCAAAGTCCATTAGGCATGATGCTTGCTTTTGGGATGCAAGTTAACCACATGCAGCTGGAGAAGAAGCTGCATCAAGTCTATTTAATTATTTCATGAATCAGATGGGAAGACTGTTTCCTAGTAAAAAATGACAGGGAAAGAGGTACTGCACATGCAGCTCTCCTAGGTCTGTTAGTCAAACAGCTGTACAGCAATGTTGTTGGTGGGGAGAGAGTGAATAAACCAGTGTGAGCATCAGAGAAAAGGTATATTTGTGTCAAAGCAGAGAAGGTCAACCCTGATTTTCTGATGCTGCTCAAATTCCATCTGAAAACATAAGGCCTTTCTGCCAAGGAGCATATGTACCCCTGAGAAGCTACCCCTTCATTCCAAGGATCACATCACAGCTGCACTGAATAGAGGCTGGGCTGAGGAGTGCGTGCAGCCCAGCCATGAGGAAGCAGTCCCAGCCAGAAACCTCTGGATGCAGAATGCTGTCTGCAAGCTCTGCTACGCCAGCTGTGCAGCTTCCCCTGGATCCCCGGTCTCTGCCAAAAGTGGCACTTCTGGGATTGCTGTTGCCTTAGCCAACTAATAAGCAAAGGACCCTTCCCAGAGCTGTCAAATCCCCAGCTGATGTGGTGTAACCCTTCCCATGCACCCCACCCTCTTCAGCAGGGCTGAGCTCCCTACTACGTGTAGCTCAGGGGTTGTAAAAGGCTGTATTTCCCTACCACCAGCTGCATGCACAAGGGGAAACGTGCTTAAATCCCCCCCCTCATCCTTTGGAGAGCACCCTCCTCCCTTGGTGCACAGCAGTGTGAATCCTTCTCCAGGAAATGGCTTTGGAATGACTGCTGCATCTTGAGCCCTCTCCGACCGGCTGTTCAATTAGCTAAGTTATTTTTAGTGCCTTCTGCCGTCTCCTTTGTGTGTGCCTGTACGTGTGTGTGTATGTGTATCTTGGCTCATCCATGTCTGAGGATCTCAGCTATGAAACAGTTGTCAGTGCTTACTCTAGGAACGTGGCCAGGACAGTATGTACAACTGGAACAAGTTAAAAAGAAGGGAAAATATCCCCAAAAAATCAGTTGGAAAAGCTTGTTCTATAATTTTATTGCTAGAGCACGGGGCGCGGAGATGTCCTGATTCTAGTTCAGCAAAATCCAAGCATAAAACCCGCTTGGAAGTAAATATGAACACACTGAGCTCCAGAGCATTCCCACCTTCCTTTTAATGCACAAGGAGGAAAAAACATCAAAGCAGCCATAGAGGACAGATGACAGAAGAGAGAGTTGAGTTCACAAGAGCTGGAGTCAGTGTCCTTTGCCTTTTTTTGCGCTCTTAGCCACAGGCATTTGGGCATAGTGTCTGTGGAGGATTTCAACCACAGTCAACGGGCTGCTTAGCAAACAGTGCAGGGAGCAATTCTGCGTTGTCCCTTCCCCATTCAGATCTCTTGCTGCTTGCTTTGGCTTGGTGAGAGGAAGCGAAGCAACCCAATTGGAAAGCTGTTTGACCCTTGCGGAACCAAGTGCAGCAGTGCAGAAAGCACTCACACCTTATGGGTTAGTTCCCAGTTAGGAGGCTGGCTTCCCTCAGGAGTTGCTTTAGTCTAAGCAGTTTCATGACCTCTTCCAGCCAGCACAGACCAGCCGTACCACAGAGAGAGGCAGTCCTTCCACCCCTCTTGCCTTCTTTCCGTTTTTAACTTTTTCCAGCACCCTTGTCATCCCTCCCTAGTGCTGGCTTAGGGGGTCACACAGCTGCAGAGGGCACTGGTCTGCGTCCAAACTAGCCAGGTTTTTAGCTAGTTAAAGCCATTTCACAATGCAACCACACAAACAAAGCAAACTCTTGACTGCAGTGCTAGTTTATGCTGGCTGAAAAGCTTCATGAAGCTATGGTTCAAGGCTTCCCTGAACTATGCTCTAGAGGTGACTGCATCTCCCCATTAAGTATGGAAAAAGTTTGGGCTCCTGGCTTTGGCTGGTCATGTTGACTGCCTGAGGTGGCTTGCTGGGGCAGCTGTTTTACTGGGGATGACTTTGTACGGGAGACAGGAAAGGTTAGATGGCTCAGACAAACTGATATAGGTGTTGATGATTGAGTAAGAGGTCAGTGGAGAATGGCACTGCCCTAGCAGACCCACAGAGAGGACGTGTTTCTGTAACATGCCAACTGCTTAGCTGGGAGGCTGATTTTGCTTGCCTCTCTAGGGAAAATGGCCTTCCAACGTCTTGGGCAATTGGCTTCCTAGGCTCTTCTGTTCAGAAATGTATGCTTAGTGGATTGAAAACAAGCTTCCTACTGATGTTACAATGCTGACCTCTTGAGGCATCACTGCAGCTGCAGATGTCGGTAGCAGCACCAGCAGAAAAGGCAAAGGTCCTGCTGGCTGCCATGTCACCTCGGAGTCGGATTCAAGGCAGGATGCTGTGCATGTGTTTGTCTTGGTGGCTGTACTGTGTCTGGATGAATATTCCATTTTGCTTTAGGAGGCTGTCGTTTTCCTCTCCTAACAATCGCGGCAGTGTGTAGGTCCACTGAATTCCTGTACTCATCTTTTCTAACAGCATTTCAGTGGTTTGATTCTCAGTTGTACTAATGCTACATTAGATATCTAAGGGATAAGGATCCCCAGCCTCAGGCATCCTAGACACAAAATTTCAGTTCATGCAGGAGGAAAACACCTGATGAGAAATGACTGTGACTCCTCTCCATATTCCAAAAGCAAAATGCTCCACCTTTCCCTATTGACTCTAGGAGTCCTACAGTTGTCAGTTGTGCTACAAATTTAAAAGCATCAGCTCTTACCTCCAGCACTTGAAAAAGTACAGTGTTTAGGGTAATTGGCTCTTTACCAAACACAGGCAGGGCAGAAGTACAGGGTCTCAGAAGTATTTAGTTCTCCGAGTACCACTGGACTCGGTGAAACTGAGGCACTTGGACACCTTTGCAGTGTTAGCTTGCACTTTCTACCCCCAAATGAAAATGAAATCTTACTCCTGAAAAATTCCTTGTATCTGAGATCCTGAGGGAGTGAGGGCTCTTCCCCTCACTGTGTAAACACTTAAATATCCCAGAGCACTTCCCTCTAATAAATGTTATGGTCTGTCTCATTATTTGTACTGTTCTGTTCTATCGCTCCCCTACCTGCCAGGAGCCTTTGCCTCAACACAGAATGAGCTGATATTCTGCAGAAACTCCCCTGCCCGTTCTCTGGCAAGTGCAGTCTTTGCAGCATGGGGCACAGCTCAACTGTCTGAAGGATGCTGTATCACATTGCCTTATCAGGCGAGCTTCCATGCACTGCTTAGAGGTGCATGATCCATGACATGGAACAAGTTTCCAGCTACCTCTGTGAGACCTCTCAGCAGCGGGTAACAGACAGGGATCCCAGAGCCTTGCAACAACCTTCCTGCACAGCTCACCAGAGCGAACCATCTCCTTTCACAGGAGCCTGAGTGGCATGAACTGGAATTTTGCTCGAGGGCCTGAAGTCTCCCCTTCGACCCCTCCTCCTCACTGCATACCACACTGGAATGAATAAATTTTGACTGTGGCTTGCCAAGCTCTTCTATACTGGAAACGCTCCTTGCTTGTCTGCAGATAGATGCTGTGCTGTCAGCTCCAAAACCTGTGTGTGTGTTTGCCTCTTTCCTTCCTCCTTATCACCCTCCCTAAAACACAGAAGGGAGATTGAAAGGCATAGCAATCTGCCAGACCATTATATATGAGAAAACAACCTTTCCCTCTTTTTACAGAATCTGATGAATGTAAGTACATGAGTGTAACAAGGTTTCCCCACAGGTAAAGGAGCATAAAGTTGCCATCAGTTCCAGAGTGGTAGCTGATAATTAGGGGCTATTGGATTTATACTATGATGCTAGGCAATGGTGTTTGGAATTACAGCAGTGCAGAAGCTCACATTTTTTTTTCACCCCGTTGCCAAAGACTGTTAAACCCTAGACTTGAAGTGGA